ACGATCTTCATCAATTGCACGTTTGATTTTGGCAATGTTTTCGTCCCTTCTTCCTGTCGAAGGACGCCCGGGGCGTGGCATGTCTTCTGTTGACATGTTGCCAGATTTGAAACGGGAAAACCACTCGTAGACCTGTGGTTTCTCCAAAGCATCATCAATAAAGGCTTGCCGAAGCATCCCAACAGTCTCGGCTGCAGTTTTCCCGAAGAGAAAGCAAAATTTCACGCACACTCTTTGTTCCTTCTGGTCGGCCATCTCACTAATCGCCAAAGGGTTGAAACAGGAACGCACACAACAGAGCACCACAGACAAACCACTTAACTCAGACTGACGCCAGCTCACTAACAGTCGCGGGAGACCCCCAGCTAACACCACCTAGCAGCACAACTCGTAACTACAAAGCATGCGCGCGCAACAGGTCAGTTCCGGTTATTTTTGGGTCCCCCTCCGTAGATACAATATAAATAATACACAATAGATTTTACACCCAATTGTATATTATTTATATTGTCTGTATATATTTTAACTTTTAGAACATACTGTAATAGTGGCTTCTAACAGTATTGATGTAGAGGTGTCCCTCTGAAGACCGAAACATGCAAGGACATGAATAATTGAAATAATAATAAAAAAATCTTAACCAGTCACACTGGACAGGACTATTTAACTTTTTCACTATATATGTCTCTTGTGGAAAAAAATTCTTAAAATGTTACGTGTGTTTGGCTAATGACCAAGGGTATTTCAATAAGCAAAATGGCTTTGAGCCAGACAACTAGGATTGGCACAAAGGGGCTAGAATTTTTCTCATCACTATGACATTGAAACCTACCCTGGAGCTCAGCCAACCTTCTATCAAAATTGGGTTCTTGCATGAAGCAGCCAGGGCATAATACTGTTGTCATTTCCTTGTATTGCTGTGGTGAAGAAAATGTGAATCTTTTCCTCCAGCCCTTATAAGCCTCCATCTTCATAATAAAGCATAAGCAGTGGGACTAGCAACCTGCAATTACTAATGTCGCTTCTTTATACAAAGACGCATTACATCTTCTGATATTCTCCATCCATCAGGCTTTATATTAGACATATTTCAAGTTTCATCACTATGCATTACAACTTCAGTTTTTTGGAAAGATATTTTATGGGTCCCTCTCGTTGGTGTCTCCACCTTATCGTGGTGAGGGGGTTTGAGTATGCCAAGGACCCTGAGAGCTATACCAGCGGTAGCGTAGCTACTGGCAGGGCCTCCCTTGCTGGACAGGTCAAAGGGTAGGCATCAGACGAAGAGAGACACCAAAAACCAAAAACTGATGCCGGAAGCAGCGTCATCAGCAGCGACTTGAAGCACAGAACAAATGATGCTCGAGATGGTTCAAGTTCGTATAGCAACAGGCGTGACCAGAGTGGTTTGAACGGCTGTTGTACTGCGATGTGGAAAGCAAATGGAAAAACTACCACATTATCACTTTTCCTGGACAGTCTCTTTCCAAAAACAGAAGATCACATTAAGTGGAGGAACTGTTTTGGAAGAGACTGTGGACCTGTCATCTGACAGTTACTGATCAATCAATCAATTTTATGGGTGACATAGTTCATAATTTTAACAGAAGATAAATTAACTAATTAATAATAGTACATAGTTTTATTGTATATATATTATGTCTGAATGGTATTTAATATGTGCAAACTTTGGTATTTTTTCATATTTTTACATCACTTACACAATGAAGTGTTTGGAAAACAACGTTTTGTCCAGTAATCAGGTGTACTTGGCAAACAAATAAGAGTTGCATACAAGTTGTCTTCAAGCAAAATACATTTTTCATTGATGTTTTCCCATCCTGAGCACCCCTGAACACTTAACAAACTTAAAAGTTTCAGTGAATGATATACAGTAAATGAAAGTGGTCCAACTTATTCCAGTAATTTTGTTTCAGACAGATATTGACAAAATTACATCCATAATCCTTAGAGGAATCCTGAAGCAGTTAAGAAATGGGCATTCCAGAGAATAAATAACTTGTCCCCTTTTTGCAGAAAATTTCACAGGAAAACCAAGGTTCTATTTATGAATTGGTTCATTATGAGGAATGTCCATGACACCAAGAAAATCATCACAAACTCTCAACATTTCTACCCAATTTAGTAGGTGCCCAATATGAGTAATGGAGCCAAGAGAGCTCTGTCAGCATAGCAAAGAGCTGTGTGCTGGTGACCCATGAATCAAAGTTTGACTGCTGGAACAGTAAGAGATTTTCCTCATCCCTATATTGTCCATATGTGCTATGGGTACTGGGGTATGTAACCCCAGGGGAATGAAGAAAAACGCTCACCACTCTAGTACTGAGGTCAGGAAAAGCAGAGCTATACATTTTACCCCTTACATCTTCATGCGCAGTGCATGATTAATGAAGCCGATTGCCACCATTGCCTTTACATTAACTGCCCAAGTTCCATCCTGGAAGGAACACTGTTTTGATGAGGCTTTCTGTGGTTTTCTTCATTCTCTCCTGGCAAATGCTTTAATAGGGAATCAAATTAGGGTTGTATGTCCACCATCTACATCCTTTACAACTCATTATTCACTATTCATCCTATCGTTTGGTGTCATATTCTCTGGGCTGCTGACACAAAAGGTAAATAAGATATAAATAACAAGTTTCGGGGGTTGGATCCAAGGAGCTTCTGCCTGATTCACCACCGTTGCCGATCTTGTGTGCTGGATTAGAGAATTTGTAATCGGAGGAAATGGCTGTGTTGGTCGAATAGTACCGACTGAACTGTGATTATATTACCGTTTTTGCCTTTATTCGCAGGCGTAGGTGATAGATGGCACAGCGGTATGCATGACGAAACTCGTCATCCTCTAGGGTGAATTAATCAACTGTATGCACGCAACAAGAATTGTTTAGTGTGAATGCGATTTAGGGAATTGAGCAAAGACGATCGATTTCATCCAATTTTAAGAATAAGTCGTCTCTGTCAACCTATCTTGTGGTTTGTATTATTGTTTCTGTTACATAAAATTTTTCGTTTCAACAATAGTTTTATACGTTGCCTTAATTATGTCATTGGTTCAGTATTGTTAGGCCAAAGGCAACACGGCGCTACACAATGTCATATCCTAGATGATAGAACTCTTATTAATGAACGCTGTGACAACCCCAGATATTTGGTATTTAGTAGATGATGAAGAATAAGTTTCATTTGGAGATTAAGAAACTGGAAAGCACACAGAGGAAGTTCGCAGGTGTAGGTAACGTTCGATTTACCGGGCGGCACTGATGCCGTAATTGTCACCGAACTTTTAATATTTGAAATTGTAGAAGAACTCCATACATCTCGTCACATTAATTCTTTGTTCACGTTCCGCTCTCGAGACTGAGTATATAGGGACTTCCCACTTTTAAAGTGAGTAATGCTTCAAAACTTCTTGTTTGGGTTGTCGTGGTCTTCGTTCAAATTTTGGCGAGGTTACCGGATATTCTGCGGTGAGATTTTTTGTGGTTTGTGTTTGGTGCCTCCAATTTTTAGGATAGTTCCGTGATCAGATCATGGATGCGTAGTTCCCAATACTTCATATATGCATCTTGACCATTATGTGCTATATATTCTCACTACCAGTTCTAACCTAAAATAAACCATAATTCTTCATCAGAATTAGTCACACATGTGAGAAGCATGTGTTCAGCATTATACATTTTAAATAAATATACTTGTGTATAGACAGGGTTTAGATTAGTAATTAAATTCATTGAACACTTACAGATTGTAACAGCTAGTAACTGTAGTGCTATCACTGATTCCCACATTGCAGTTCACTACTAAGTCTTCTCAGCCTGCTGTGTCTTCACCTGTTGTTCCCTGGTGATGGATCACAACAATGTCCTCTGCTTCCAATGCTCATGTTCTTACTGTCTGGCGACTGTTTCAGAACTGACCCATGACCCGTGAAGCTCAAGATCAGAGTTTTTTTCTTTTTGGCAGACCCATTACCACCATAGTCCCTATGTAAGATCCTCTCTCATGAGAAGATGGGTGTGTCTCTTATGAATATGCTTGTCCTTGTCAAGTGTATGTATCACACATATAGCATGTTTAACTCATTGTGGTGCACAGTCATTCTTGGTTTTGTGCTTTGTGATGAGCTGTGATCATATTTTTGTTCTTTCCATACTTATACATGTTTTGAAATGGGACCCCCTTTTCGAAGAGAGGAGAGATCTCTCTAGTGCTGGTTACTCCCACTCTGCCGGTGAGTGAAAATTCTGGCACTCGATGCCACTCACTCACCTGCAACTTCATTAACTCATTACTTCAATTATCCTACTTATGATATCTTAGAATGGAACACACAATTGTTTAATTGTTGCTTAGCAGACCTTGCAGAATCCAACATAACTACAGGGTGTCCCAGGAGCAATGGACCAAACTTCGGGAGGGTGTTCCTTATGTTAAAGTATGCCGATATAACCCAAAACACCTATGTCCAAAGTTGAACGGTTACGGAGATAATGGCCCGAGAAAAGTGTGGTCTTCTAGCGGGTCTACGGACTATACCTATCAGCTGAGAGGCCTTATCTATGTTTGTCCTTGAGTGCCGTGATTCACCCTAGCCGTACTTATGTAGTTGGCTTTATCAGAACGCGCAGTCAGCCAAGTTACGTCAGCGCTTGCCATTCATGTGTCATGTATAGTGCTTGGAAACCCTAGGGACAATTATGACATGGCGAGCGAGTATTTTGTACTTCAATTTTATGGCTTCATGTCACTCACAAGTTAGTTTTATGTTACATACATTATTAACATTACAGAATCCACATATTCCTGCCAGTTTTAATATGTATTTTGTAATTAACAAGTGTGCAACGCCAGTCAAAGTTTCACACTTCTCTGGCCATTATCTCCGTAACCGTTCAACTTTGGACATAGGTGTTTTGGGTTATATCGGCATACTTTAACATAAGGAACACCCTCCCGAAGTTTGGTTCATTCCTCCTGGGACACCCTGTATGTGTGTACAGGCCCCTGCCCTGCAACAGCAGCAGTACCATCAGCTGTCTCGTAGTTGTTGCCCAGTAACATGGCTGCATATCACAATATGCTGTTTCACTTTAGAGCTAGGATCACTTTGTTGGTAAAACAGCAGGCTACAGGCTGGATGATTGGAGGTCAGTTCTCATCAGGGACAAGAGTTCTGTCTCTACCTTATAGTGTCCCAACTGGCTATTTCAAAGGCAAGAGTTAACTGCTTAATGTCAGTAATAATTACCAAATGAACACCCTGCAGGAATGTTAAGCCCCACAGCTTCCACTGACACAATGCAAATATATGTGTCCTGAAACTGCCACATATTCATACATATATCTGTGTGTGTTTTAACACCATTCTTAATTAGTATGTTTAGTTTCAGAACTTGGTCACATAATCCAACTCAAGTACTGTACACACATCAGAACTTCATGACTATATTACCAGGATTCTTATAAGCCACTTTCTGACAACCCACAGTTTATCATGTGTGATGGTCAAGATGTAGACTTACAAAAGACTCTACAATCCGTTGCAGCAAGAGTGCCAAAAATTGTAGTACAGAGAGCTGAGGAAATATTTCCTGCTTTAAAACAAATCATGGTGAGTGTTCTGTTTTTCTGTCCCAAGAAAATAATTGTATGGTCTTCTTGGCTGCTTTTACATTGTCAGTGAACGGAATACTTTGTTACAAGCTTCTGTTAAACATCATTTCTGTTTTCTCAGTTTTGTAAGGATGGGTGTACACATTTTGGGGGCTTAGTGTCTTCTATATTATTAGCATGATGAATTAAAGGAATTGGTCTGTGTGCATGAATTATACATTGTTGAGACTTGCTTGTTATAAGTGTAGTAGTATGTGTGTCTGTTTTTGTTATGAATTTTAATATTTTATAATGTAAATGTTTTAATGATACGGCTTACCAGTGTGTGTGGAATGGCAAGGTGTGAATTTGACAGTGGATTTTCCATTACCCATGTGTGTTGTCCTGACAACTTGAGCTATCTGTGAGAGGTCTGATTATATATTTTATTGGACCAAGGACAAATGATGTGTAGTCATCATGAATTTTTAATATGTGACATGTGTTATATCCAGCCCTAAGGGGAGATGATTCGATCCATGAAGTGAAAAATAAATGTAAATGTAAATGTAAAGGAAGATGTGAGAGGCAGGGCATATGTCATGTTTGTGAGAGAGAAGACATTCATAGAGATACTTGGAGAGAAATATAAAAGAGAAGTACAAGGTGGGAGATGTGTGCCTGTATGATAGGCTAATATTCAGGGAGATTATGGACTGGAGTTGTTTGGCCCAGGACAGGGACCAGGGACAAGCTGTAGCAAGTTTAGCAATGAGACATTGTGTTCCATGGAGGTGGGGCAGGAACAGGGAGTCTCCTGGATGGTGTCAGTGGTTAGCAATAATTTTGGAAGTTGTAGTGAAGAAAACCAGTGGAAAATAGTAGTTGTCATGTGATGCAGTGCTGGGTGGTGATGACAAGGAAAGCGAATCCTGTTCTGTGTAATAACATTATAGCCATGACTGATAAGGGTGTGGTGCTTCTACAGGACTCCTTGGATTCACAGAAAGATGAACCAGGTTCGCATAGTGAGGCATGTGCATCGTCGTCCCTAAATGGAGTTCAGGCTGTCAACATAAAAGTTGAAGAATCCTCAGATATGGAAGGTGGGGAGGATCCTGTGCCAATGACAGTTGTAGGAATAAAGGCTGAACATGAGGTGAGTCTATGTCCCCTCTGTGTCGCTGTGAGGCATATCTGAATCACATCCAGAGGTGACTGTTCTTTTTCTTTGCATCTTTCATACAAAACTCCTCCAGTTTGGTGAAGATGTAAATTCTTGAAAAGACCATTTTGACATGTCTCAGAAGGATTTCTTCTTGTTGCACATTGTTTGTAGTTTACTGTTGTCATTCTGTGTGAATGCCATGTGCATAAAACAAAATATATCACTAGAATTCTTCTAAACCACTATGTGATGTGGCCTACAGTCCAGTATGCATGATGAAGTTTCAAGCTTGCAAAGACGCTGTATTCTCTTGCAACAAGAGTGCACACATTATGGGGCCTTGGTGTCTTATTAGCTTGATCAATTCAAGGAAGATGTCAGGGTCCAGTCATATAACATGTATTTGAGGACAAGACATTCATGCAGATGTTTGGATAGAAATCAGGAAGAGGAAGGTGTTGGCTGAGAGAGGTATGCATGGATGGCAGGATGCTGTTATAAAGTGGCTCTTAAACAAACAATGTGAGAGGGTGTGGACTGGAATTCTTTGGCCCAGGATAGGCACTAGAGACAAGCTGTAGTGAACATGGTAATGAGACATGGGTTCCATGAAGGCAGGCACCAACAGGGACTCTGCTGTGTGGTTTTAGTGCTTGGAAATGATATTGGAAGTTGGAAAGCATAAAATGTGTAAGAACACAGCGGTTATCAGTTTGATGCAGTGCAGAATGTTTATGGCAATGAAAGTGTATCCTGTTCTGTGTGTTGACATTAGAGCCATTACTGATAAGGGTGTGGTATGTTTACTGAACTGCTTGGATTCACAGGAGGATGTACCGAGCTCACACAGTGAGGCCTTTTCGTCATTGTCTCTGAATGGAGTTCAGGCTGTCGACATGAAATTTGAAGAATTCTTAGATATTGAAGATAGTAAGGATGCTGTGCCAATGACAATTGTAGGATTAAAGACTGAACATGAGGTGAGTTGTATGTCCCCTCTGTGTACTGTGAGGCATATCTGAGTCACATCCAGAATTGCCTGTTCTCTCTCATCTGCAAAAGTCACACACAACTCTCCATTCTGTTGAATAGGGGAATTTTCTAAATATTTGTTGACATGTCTCAAGAAGACTGCTTCTTGTCACAGTTCGCTTGTTGTGTACTGCTGCCATAGTGTGTAACAGCGATACACATGAAACAGGATACTGAGCAAATTGAAGAACCCAGTTGTATGCAAGAAGAAATACAGTGCAACCTTTATTTTATATTTCTGGATTTCAGGTTTTTTGTGAATTTATCACATTTTTGCATGTTTGTAGCTAAATATCCATAACAATGATATTGCAATTTAATGGAGTTTATGTTTCCTCAGATACATGTGTCCTCCAAATTTGCACTTAATTTTTCTAGTTGTGTCCATTCAAGTGCCGTTAACTTTTATCGGGTGAATGTTATATATATATATATATGCCTCAAGCAGCAACCCGTGTTGGCCAAATGATATGTATATATATATATATATAAACCGTGACACACTCTTTGGGAGTGCTGATAGTTCAGTCTTGGTTTGAAACCAAAACAAACGCACGCAAGTTCATGTCAGGTTTATTTGTTAGCTCTGAACAATGAAATTGTTTTTATATATGACTGTTTATGACCTGGTCAGCCAAATATAGCCCAGCTTTGTTCTGAGAACTGAAGAGGAAATATTCATCGGCACTTGCAGATCAGTGCTTCCAGAGCTTTCAAGGAAGTGTGACGTATTCAAGGATTGTATTTCAGTGGTGAATTATCAGTTAGGAAGTCAGTGTTGGATTGCGTAAAATTTCATCATCACTTAAAAAGTTATTGTCCGACTGTCATATATTTCGTATATTATTTTTATTTTGTGTCTCGGAAGAGGTATAAACCAACTGAGCCAGTGTTACTTTGTGAGTAAAAGGCATCTTTGTCACTGTGACTTTCCATATCAGTGTGGGACTGGCACCTTTTTGACTACTATTACATTTTATTATTTTTTATTGCTAGTGGGGTGGGACTAAGTCCCTTGTACTGCGGCCACTTCTGGCCTCTTGTACCGTACTCTTACAGTTACTTTGGATCACAATTTTGTGAGTCTTAGTCAATCAACATAATTTATTCAATTTTGCTGGAAAACCCCCCTCCCCCAAGATGGAACCTCAAAAACGTGCCCGATATTCCAAACTTCTCAATGCAGAAGAACTGGAGGAAATATTGATGGAAGAGGAATCTTATGAAGAGTTAGAAGATATCAGTGATTTCATTGAACCTCGAGAAAATATGTCGTCATCATCATCATCATCATCATCATCATCAGACAAAGAGGCAGAGGAAATGGAAATTAGGTTTCGTGATAGAAGACCTGGGGATTTGCCAAAGGTACTAGACTTCACTGGTCCTCCGAGTGGAATCAACAGATCAGCTGCTCCCAATATAAGTGCACAGTCATCTCTGTTTTCCATTTTCATTCTGTTTTTCCAGCAAATATTCCAAATCTTGTTACAAGAAACCAACAGATATTTCCACCAATTTATGGCATGCCAAGATGGTCCAGGCCCTTCTGTTCAACCGCCTGACATTACAATTGAAGATATATATATATATATATTACTTTTTGGCAATAATAATTGAAATGGGCCATGATCAACGGGACACACACAAAGATTATTGGTCAAGAGATGAGCAATACCACACTCCATACTACCGTAACACCATGGTACGAGACCGTTTCTTCATATTTTGAGATTCCTACATTTTGAAAATAATGAAGCTCCTTCAAATCGAAATGACTCAGAGTATGATAGGCTCTGGAAAATTAGAAAAATTTTTGACAATCTCAACAAATTTTGTGAACTTTTTCAGTCCATGAGAACGTCTTGCTGTTGATGAAGTCATAGTGTTGTTCAAAGGAAGAGTGATTTTTCATCAGTATATTCCAAAGAAACGCAAAAGATTTGGTATAAAAATTTACAAGCTTTGTGGCTTTCTTAGCTATACTTATTACATGACAGTTTATTTGGGCAAACAGAGGCAATTTGCGACAGAAGAAATTACATCGATACATGGAATTGTTCTCTAGCTAATTCTAAGAGTAGAAGGCTTGGACACAAAATTTACATGGACAATTATTTCAGTTCTCCTGCTTTATTTGACGATCTTTTAGACAGGAAAATAAATAAATGTGGCACTTTTCACAATGATAGGCGTGGAATGCCACAAGAAATTTGGCCCAAGTCAATGAAATTGAAAAAGGGGATATTGTTACAAGAGTCAAGGGAAGTGTTGTTCGTTGGAAAGACAAGCGTGATGTGTATGTTCTGACGAATATGCACCCTCCTCCATTGGAAGGCAACTTCTGAGATGAATCTGGCCATGCTGTCAAACCCCATGTAATTGAAGACTACAGTGCACACATGGGCTTTGTGGACAAATCTGATAGAATGGTGAACAGCTATGACATTGCTCGGAGGACATGGAAGTAGACAAAGAAATTGTTTTTCCACCTTCTAGATATGACTATTCTCAATGCATATTTATTACACAAGTCGTGTGGTGGAAAAATGATGCACAAAAAGTTCTGCGAAATATTTAGTGTGGGATTTGATTCTACAATCACATGAAGTGAATATCATGGTCAGTGGCGTTTCTCAGGGGAGGCTCAACTGAGTCGACTGGAGGTGAAACATTCACAGCACTGGCCAACTAAAAGGAAACAAAGGCATTGTCATGTTTGTTCTGAAAATAAGAAAAGCAGAAGCACGCTCTACTATTGTAAAAAGTGTAATGTTGCGCTCTATATGGTGGACTGCTTCGAGAAGTGGCACATGTGCGTCAGATTGTGAGGTATCGTAAACAGTGATGTAACGCAGTTCAAACTTGCATACGTTAAAGGTTAAAGAATGCAGTTGACTTGTAAGGTAACTGTAGTTGTACATGCTGTTATGTGTGTGTGGGTATGGAAATTGGTTTCTCACTTTAAGGGAAGAAAGAATATACGTTGAGGTGGTGTAGAACAGGATACTGAGGCGAGTATTTAGTCTAAGAGAGAAATAGTAACTGGAGGCTGGAGAGCACTGAATTTTGAGAAGTTGTGCCAGTGGAACAATTTAGCAGGTATTAGAATCCTAACATCAATGAGTATGAGATGGGCAGATCATTTAGAATTCATGTGAGAGATGAGGCACAAGTACAAAGTTTTCATGTAGGCTATGACTCACAGTAGTGAGCTGTAATGGGCCATGGTAAATATGGTGATCACTTTCCAGGTGTTCACATTATGAGGGCAATTTCAACATTACATAAATGACTATTAACTGTGCATGAGGAAGTCCACGAGAGAACCTGTACAGAGCAGCTGTTATGAGAGTGATGCACTGCACAGTGACCATAGTAATGAAAGTGTGTGCTGTTCTCTGTAATGAGAGCGCACAGCCCTGATTGATACGGGTTTGCTGGTTTTGCAGGACTGTGCACATCCACAGGAAGATGTCCCAGGTTCATGTACTGACACATGTCCTACAACTTCTCATGATGCATTTCAGGCTATCTGTATGAAAGATGAGGAGATATCAGATGTTGAAGAGGTGGATGATCCATTGTCGATATCCTTTCTAGGAATAAAGGCTGAACATGCGGTGAGTTCCTTGTTCTCTTTCCCAGCTGATAGCCAGGCAACTGCAGCTGCCTGTCTTATGTACTCACAGGGATAGCCCCACCACTAATTCCTAGTTGACTCACGGTTCATCTTCCAGTTGATCCCTCAGCAGATACAAGACAAGTATTTTGTTCCTAGCCAGTGTCTGTCAGCCATTCTTCTTTATGGTGACATGGAATAAAGATATACATAGCTCTGTATTTTTGTTCTCTTGATGGGTTATGATAAAGGTGTTCGTGTGTACNGCACTGTATGTCTGCATGTGTATCCTCCCTAGGCAGTGACTCAGTAAACATGTTCCCACAACAAGCAGTACACCAATACGCATTGGTATCCATGCATGCTGTATTGTAACAGAGGAAAGTAGATGATCAGTTCATCCTGGAACCCTGTGACTGCCTGTCTGTGCGCATACCATATTGCTGTTGGCCCTTGCTAGTGCAGTTATTGTTGACTCAGAGACCCTACTGTCTGTGGAGAGCAAAAGTTTGTTGATGTGTTTACAGGAGGTTTTTAGTGGTCCGCATTCTTAGCAAGAAATGTCCACTGCAATCCCTGCCAGTGATGAATGATGATTTGAAAGGATTTACGTGGAACCAATTGTGTCGTAACCTATATACAATCCTAGTATTTTGATGGAGTATCTAAGGAAATCTCTTCCAGTTGGATTTCTTCTAATGTTTGTCTCTGTTTTTTGCAGTGTGTGCTGAATGAACATCAGTTCACACAAAGTGAATGTCCATTTCCATGTGACATTGATAATAAGTCATTCACCCGTAGTAGTCGTCTGAAGAGATATCGGCATATACATGCTGCAGCCCGATCATTTCCCTGTGATGTTTCTACTAAAACATTCAGTAGACAGGGTCATTTGAAGGAACTTCAACGCCTACATAGTGGGGAGCCGCCATATTCCTGTGATGTTTGTAATAAATCATTTAGTAAGCGTAGGTATTTGAATGCTCATCAGCCCATACATAGTGGAGAGCGGCCGTTTTCTTGTGCTGTGTGTAATGAGTCATATGCCTCTAAGAGTCGTCTGAAGGTACATCTACTCAAACATAGTGGTGAGCAGACATTTTCTTGTGATATGTGTAATAAGTCATATACCACTAGCAGTGACCTGAAGGTACACCGACGTGTACATAGTGGGAAGCGGTCATTTTCTTGTGACGTGTGTAATAAATCATATACCACTTGCTCTGGCCTAAAGGTACACCAACTCATACATAATGGGGCGCGGCCATTCTCCTGTGCAGTGTGTAATAAGTCATATACCACTAGCGGTGGCCTGAAGGTACACAAACGCATACATACTGGGGAACGTCCATTTCCCTGTGCTGTGTGTAATAAGTCATATACCACTAGCGGTGGCCTGAAGGTACACAAACGCATACATACTGGGGAACGTCCATTTCCCTGTGCTGTGTGTAATAAGTCATTTAGTACTAACAATGCTCTGACAGTACATAAACGCATACATAGTGAGGAGCGGCCATTTTTCTGTTCTGTGTGTAATGAGTCATATGTCTCTAAGAGTCATTTGAAGGTCCATCTACGCAAACATAGTGGTGAGCGACCATATTCCTGTGATATGTGTGCTAAGTCATATACGTGTAGCAGTGACCTGAAGGTACACCAACGTATACATAGTGGGGAGCGGCCATTTTCCTGTGATGTGTGTAATAAGTCATTTATTGTGAACAGTCATTTGAAGGCACATCAACGCATACATACTGGGGAGCGGCCATTTTCCTGTGATATATGTAATAAATCGTTTATTGCAAACAGTTATCTGAAGGCACATCATCGCATACATAGTGGAGAGCGGCAATTTTCCTGTGACGTATGTAAT